GCATGCACCAACTCATAAACTTGCTCCTTGCATTCCTTCAAACTTAAGCTCCAAATGGCAAGCAAGAGGCATCCAAAATGATGAAGAATATGAGAGGAAGGCTCGGGAATCCTCGGGACACGATCATAACCTGAAAATACACAAAAACAAGCAAATAAAAGGGAAAAAGACTAAATAAACTCAGAAAAGCACAAAGAAAGAAAACTAACTAAGGAAAGCACAAACTAAAGAAATAAAGAACGAAACTAAGGAAAACTAAAGAAAAAGCTATAATAGAGCATGAAATTCATCCTAAAAGAAGCCAATTGAGTGCCATAAATGACACTCATCAGGTAATTATGAAAGATTTTGAGGGGTGTGAAGAAATAAGGAAAGTCTCAAACTTAATAACACCTCATCACTCTTGGAATACAAACCTCATATGGAAAGCATTTCGGAAGAGGATGCAAGGAAGATTTTAAGCATTTTCTTACCTTCTACAAGGACAAATTAAAAGATTTGGCTCCTTGATTCGAAGGGTTCCTACTCTATGAAATCTGGGTATTGGAGCTAGTTTACACAAGTGTATTCCATGGAGGAAGAATACTTCTGGAAGAAATTCTGGAAGTTTAGAATGTGGCCAAAGGTGCTTGTTCTTGGTTGGAAGATTATACACAATAAGCTCCCTAAAAGAAGCAATCTAAGAAATAGAGGAATGATGATGGAAGGGCATTGTGCATTATGCAACAAGGAGGAAGATACTGTAGTGCATTTGTTGAGTGAATGTGAGGTAACCAGAAGAGCATGATGGGGGTTGCTGGGGATGAGACCTATGATTAATCTCCACATCCCATTTGAGAAGTGGTTAAAGGACCTACTTATTTACTCTTTCAAGATGGGAAATGAAGGAGAGCTGTCAAAATCAATGTTGTTGGTGTTACAAGCGATTTGGCTACATAGAAATGAAGTTATTTTCAGAGGCATGAGTGTTAGGCCAAAAAATATTTTGGAGTCAGCACAGGTACATGCTCAGAAATGGATGAAGGCAGAAATTTTGTAGACAGAGGAGCAGGCGCGCAGATTCCACACGAAGTTAAACTAATGCAAATCCAATGTATTTTCTATGTAGGTATCCCTTCTTTAGGTACCAGGATCTCAATCATAGTGGATGCAGCATGGAAACAAAGGAAAGCTAAGATAAGTCAGGATGGAGTGTGGCTGTAGCATGGCAGAGTGAAGTGAAAGGACAACATATAGCAGGAGAAGCGAGGAAAATTCAAGCTCAAAATGCCCTTCAAGATGAAGATTATGCTGTGTTCTGGGCTTTGAAGGATAATATGTCTCAATTCAAAAACATTATTATCAAGACAGATTGCAAACTGGTGGTCAAGGCTCTTAACAAACCAGATCAAGCTCCATTACAATTTAGGAACATTATAGAGGATATTAGGTTTATGGCAGGGAAAATCGATTTCTTCATTTTCTTAAAGTCCAAAGGGAACTCGTTCATCCAGCACATATAGCAGCAGGGTAAATGAGAAGGTGTTAGCTAATTGTTTGTTTTGTTTCTTCTTTAGCCATTGTCTAAAAAAAATATCCCCCTATTGTTATCAGACCATTCATGACTTAAGTTATTAAAGGCAGATAAATCCTGATTAGCCTATTGCCTCCGGCCGCTTCTCAACATATAGCAACTAGATACAAGCATGTCTCCATCCAGGGGTATCATTGTAATATCACCTGCTAATTAAAAATAAAGAAAATTGAGGGAAAAGGAAAATGAGTCACGTGATGAGAACGGGAAACGGACTTTCAGTCTTTCATACACTGAAAGCAAAATAAAGAGTAAGCTTCGACTAAACTAAGGAATCCGGATGTTTGGCGAATTCCGGCAATGGAGGCGGAGAACGGAGGATTAAGAAACATCGGTTGGTGGGAAATCTCCGGTAATGGAGGAGGAGAATGTTCGCGTCAAGCATTGTCTAGATCTTGTAAGTCGTTGTCTTTCCTTAAATTAGAATTCATATTTTGGAATTTGTAGTTGCTTAGATCTGCAAAATTCTCATTCCTCGATTAGCTATGAATACTGGGTAATTGTTAAATGTTGTTTGTGTTAGTGAATTTGTGTTGCCTTGTATTGGTGGTAGTGAATGCGTGTGCCTCGATTGGCTCCACTCCTGTTGCAATGAATGTGTTGATTTTTGTCTTAAGAATTGATTGAAGATTGTTAAGATCCATGTAATTGCTTTCATTTGATAAATGCTTGTTGAAAGTCTAGATTATCTCCAATTGAAAGTCAGGAAATTAAAATCCGATTGACTGTGCTCCAGTATGTATTTGTTGTTAAACTTTTGTAGTTTGTTGGTAATTTCATTCTTTTACAAATGATATAGTCTATTAATATGTTATTTTAGTACTGTCAAATTTCAAACCGAAACCGTTTAACAGCCCGAAACGAATAGACCCAAGTGAGAACCGAACAGATTAAAAACCGTTTTTTTGAAACCGAAAACTGACCCGATCTGCATTTGAATGAACCCGAAACCCAATCGATCCGAATAATGTTACACCATATAAGAACCGAACCCGTTAATGAACCGAACCAATTCTAAACCGAACTGAAATCAAACAGAACCGAAAAAGAACTGAACTGTTTCTAACCCGAAACCGTTTAAACCAGGATAAAAACCGTTTACACCAAACCGTTGAACCGTGTATAAACCGAACCGCTTGCCAACCGAATCGTTTATGAACCGGACCGCTTATAAACGAATCGGATACAAAGTGCTTACTATAAAGAGAATATTAGAATCAAGTAAAGAGGTGTTTTAAATGAAATTAAATTATGCACACATGTTTACTACCGATCGAGCATTAAAGAACCGAACTAGTTATAAAGTGAACCGAAAAAGAATTGAACAAGTTATAAACTAAACCGAAAAAGAACAGAACCAGTTATAAACTGAACCGAAAAAGAACTGAACTATTTATAAACTGTACCGAAAAAGAACCAAACTGTTTCTAACCCAAAACCGTTCCCAACCCGAAACTGTTTGAACCGGGATTAAAACCGTTTACACCGAACCGTTAACAAACTGCAACTCGTTTGCACTGAACCGTTTACTACCCAAACTGTTTACAACCTGAACCGAATTAAAACCGTTCAAGAATAAACCGAAACCAAATCGAACCGATAACTATTTAAGCGAACTGAAACCGACCCGCGAAACACTTAAACCGATTTCAAACCGACCCAATTTAATACCGAACCGATTTCAAATCGAACCGAACCCGAACTGTCAAACCATTTTGATAGTGCTAGTTTTTTTGGTATTGTTTTTTACAAGCTAATTGTTTGTTGTTGGGAAAAAGTTTGAATTAATTACTTGTAAATGTAATGTCTGCAGAACATTGATTTGGTCGAAAAAGTAATTTGGAAAATGATGTTGATTATTGTTTTGATGATCACGAGTTGGATGACAATGATGTTGAGGTGACGAGGTGTTGGTTGAAGATAGTGATGAGCATGAAGATGGTGATGAGGATGAATGTATGATCACTGGTTTCATTGAAGATGGTGAAGAGGAAGATGACTGTATCATTACTGGTGGCACTCATTTAGGGGAAAATGTTGGGGATGAGGATGATGGTGGCTGTCCTATGAAAATGGATGCACCTGCAGTTGGAATGGTGTTTTCCACTTTGGAAGAACTGTATAGTTACTATAGGGAGTACGGGAAACAGGAAGGATTTGGTGTGGTGTGTGTTGGTGGCAGGAAGCCTAAAAAGGATGGGTCATCGTAAAAAAAATCTACAATTATGTGTTTAGGTGTGAGGCCTATGGCACAACAAAGTATGAGAGTGTAGTAAATGGTAAGAGGGTGACTGTGAGTCACGACCATTTGGTGAAAAGGAAGTTTAAGAAGTGTGAGTGTCATGTTGTTTTGTATGCGTCAATGACTGAGTTTGGTGAATGGAGGGTGGTTAATGTAAATAATAGTCATAACCACACTATGGAACCCAAGGAATCAAACCACATTGCAATGTACAAAAAAGACAAAATAAACAAGGCAGTAGAGAAGAGAATTGATAATGATTATGGGGCAGGATCCTCTATTCCTGCTATTTACAACAATATGGCACACTAGAGGAATGGATATGAAAATGTGGGATTTAAAAAAAAAAGGCATGTATAATATTGTGAATAGGAAGACACGACTGAAGTTGAAAGACGGAGATACGATGTCTATGCTTGAGTATTTCCATAAAATGACTGAAGATAACAAGAATTTTTACCATGCCTATCGGGTTGACGAGATAGGGAGGTTGAAGGATGTGATGTGGGCGGATGCGCGTAGCAAAGTTGTGTATCAAGATTTTGGGGATGTGGTTTGTTTTGACTCAACGTACATGACCAATAATATCACATGCCCTTTTCTAATTTTGTAGGCGTAAACCATCACGGTCAAAGCGTGCTATTAGGTTGTGCGTTGGTGTCTCACGAGGATGCAGAGACATTTGTGTGGTTTTTCAGAACCTGGTTGGCTTGTATGGGGGGAAACCCTCGAATGCCATAATACTGACCAAGATGCGGCGATGAGAAAGGCAATTGCTGAGATATCCGATGCGAAGTACGTATCACCGATGGTGCATGTGGCATATCATGCAAAAATTTGGAGCCAAGCTTGGAGCTTTGTCCAAATATGAAGAACTGGAGGAGGACCTCAAGAATGTCATCTACAATAGTTTGACTCCGGAGGAGTTTGAGGCGTCTTGGATGGTTGTTATGGAGAATTACAATGTGGCCGAAAAACGAGATTGTTACACTTGGCTTGAAGGTTAGTTTTGTATGTGATTTTGATGTTTTGAATTTCAGATTATGTGATTTTATATTCGCTACACCAAAAACTAGATTAGAGATCGCAAAATATAGAACGCAAGACGTTCTCCGGAAGAATATAGATCGTCTTTATATAAGAGACGTTCTGTATGTTAATACATATGGAACGGTTAGCATAGTTAACCGTTCTCTATTTTTTTTACTCAAATAATTAAAAAAATAATTATTTATTATAGATGATATAGAACGGTCATCTTGACAACCGTTTTATATTGTATTAACTTTTTTTTTTTTAAATTAGGATGAAATTGTATACGTACCGAGTAATAATTTACCCAAATTATCTAAGGCGGCTAAATGGGAAAAGTGAAGCGCGCTTCTCTTTCACTTTCACTAGAATACTAAATCAAAAAATACGTGAAACCTCTTCTCACTCATTCATCAACAAAAAAAAAAAAAAAAAAAATTGAAACCTCCATTAAACCTCCATATCAAAACCTTCATCAGCCGCTTACAGTGTCGCTCCACCGCCGCTCCACGTCTGCAGCACCGCACCAGTAAATTGAGGTAGGCTCGATGGTTTTTTTTTTTTTTTTTTTTTTTTTTTTGGTTCGAATTTTTCTTCTCAAAGAGTAATTGGATTCTGATAATTGTCAATCTAATTGCATGCATCATTCAAATTATGAAGGAAATAGAAGTGAATTCGTAGTTTTCATCTATTAAAGTAATTTGCAATTCGAATTTTAGGTGATTGAAAAAAATTTCACAGTTATAGTTTTAGGGATAAATGCCGAATTATTGCAGTAAGTTCAATCAAATTACCCTTAATTTTGTCGAATTTACTTTAATTTCAATTGTAATCAAAATTAATTTAGCCAAATTAATCTTAACTAAGTTCAATTTAGAACCCTAATCAGATTAAAAAAAAAAAAAGGAACAAATAGAGAGGACATCCTTGCAAAGCATGCTAGGGAGAGTGTAATTTAATGTACTAGTTGTGTAATTTGGAATGGAATGGAATCACAATAAAGTGCCAATTGGGGAAAATAGATATATCTTTTCATCATACATTGGTGTAGTTGTTCGTGAAAGAGTGAATATCAATTATTGAGACTGGGAGGAAGTTCCGAAAGAAGTTATTGATGACCTCTTTAAATTCATCACGGTAAGATTAAAGGCTTTTTGATTAGTTCCATGATCATGAGTTAGAGGTGTAGTCCAGCAATGTTGGACTCCCTTTATATGCAAGAACTGATGTTGTGTTAATGATGCTGGACCCTTGTTGCATATGCTTCAGAGCATGCCTATACATACATACATGAAAATTAAACGTCGATACTCATGAGTCGTGGCAGATTTGGCAGTGGCATCTATTTTATCCCAAATGAAACATGAATAATTACCATAGGAAAAAGGCATAATTTTCAATTTTATTGTACTCTTTTATGTTTAACTCATATGCCTATGTTTTAACACTTTCCTTAAGTAATAATCAAGCTGCAGTGAAGTCAATAGAAAACAAATATGAATGGTACCAAGTAGTGATTATATAAGAAGTAATAATCAAGCTGTTAATAAAATATAAGTACTTAATTTATGCTAGGGATTTTGAACTAGATTATATGTGATGAGGTTTATGCAAATCAAATAGTCTTTAGCAGGTGCTGCAGGAATGTCTGAGAGTTTAAATGTCAGCCCAACTTTGTTTTGACTGTCCTGTATTGTATCCTTCATTAATCACTCTGTCCCACATAATTGTCCGTTTTTTGCTTTTTATTAATGCAAATTGTAATTAATTAATATTGGAGATTTAACAAATTAGGCTATGGAACAATGGTTTGATGGTAATGAGGAAAAAAATTGATGGGTGAGGCTAATACATAGAGACTAGAGTCAAGTTTATTCTTCTCAAAATATTGAATTTCATGGGTGAGGCTAATACATAGAGACTAGAGTCAAAATACAATAGACTTTGGAATAATTGAATTTCATGGGTGAGGCTTATATGTAAAGAAGTACAGGAGGATATTGTGCACACGCATGCTGGGAACAAGCAGCTGCAGTTTGCTCTGTTGTCCAGTGTTGTGATATGTGGGAACTGAAGGCTGCTGAAGCTAAAGCAAAGCTATCTGGTGGGGTTTACAGCTTGCTAGAGAGGCTAGGCTGATGAAAATAATCATTGATGAGATTCTAGTTCGTTCCATTTCATCATTGATGATATTATTGATGTAGCTATTTCTGATTTATCTATATATAATTTCTGCCTTGATGGGTTTCCTAAAAGAAAAAATCAAGATTGCAGTGTGGCTTCCAGAGAATGATCAATCCTCATAAAAGCTTGTTTATTCGAATTCAGGTATTTTTTGATATATGAATTTCGGTATTGTTATATCTGATATCTTTTATTTGAATTGTGTAGAGAGGATTTATAGTGCCGGAAGAACGTAGAAATTATGTATTAGGGAGAGCTTCAATCCGCTGGAGAGCTTTCAAGGCCAGATTAAGAAAGGATTGGATGTACGACACCAAGGGAGTAAATCCAAATGTGATTATTAAATGCCTATACGAGGTAACGTGTGCATTTGATAGTTGCAGCTTTAATGTATCAGTGGCAGTATATGATGAGGTAAGATAGAGGATTCTCATCCTCTTTTTTTTTTCTTTTGTTTTTTCAAAGGGATTTTCTCATAAGTGGGAGTGGGACACCCATTTTATGGCTTCATTTTCATAGCTTTAATGTATCAGTGGCAGTAGATGTGCACTTTAAATCAATAAAGATATTGATTGTATCAGTGGCAGTAGATATATTTAGCTAATTGCTTATTTTTTTAACTAGTAGAGTTTGGTTATATTAAATAGAAGAACTTGTGCCTTAATGTTAAGCTAGTTAACACAATAGTAGTGCTCAAGGGAATTCAATTATAACTGTAATGATATTGATGGCACATAAAGAGATCAAATTGTTATTACTATTTGAAATTTGTTACTTTGCTGTTGCTATCATGACTTCATGAGATATTGTGTAAATGCTTGCAAGGTCTGTTACTCTTGCTTGTTTGGTTGTGCCTTGTTGGCAACTTCGGATGTATACCTATGTTGTTGACTGAGGCTTATTTGTTATCCATGCCCCACAATGACACTCTATTTTGAACTAATATATTATTAACTAATATGTATGTATTTTACATTGTTTTGTAGTATTTTAAGCAAGTTGCTCATACATATTCTCAACAAATGATTGACGAGCTTAGGGAAAGGTGGATTTCATATGTTACCGGATACCATCAACCAAATGACAACGACGATGAGTTATGTGAATTGTAGATCAATATGGTATTGGTATATTTTGGGGCATCAATTTTTTTATTTAAATCAACATTAACTAGAAAGGTTTTTGATATTTAACTCACGTATTTGTTTGTATAGAACAAATTTTGTATGAATGATTCAATTTGATTGTGGTTAGATGTTTAAAATTATATATATGAAGTATATTTTGATGGCTTTCGTCGTATCTGGAAATATTTTTGTTAATTTTATTATACAGAAAGTTATATCTCATGTACAGGATCTTGGATTTTTTTTACAAAGGAAATGTGAAGATTTTCTTACAGGATACAAGATATAAAACAGGAATACAGGTCTAAAATGAAATACAAAAATAATTCAGATTATTAAAATACAGGAATAATACGGTATAAAATACGTAGAGGGGTAATTCGAATAATTAAATACATATGGCTGGATTTTTTTTTAAAAAAAAAAAAATTAGAGAACTGTTATCTAACTTAACCGTTCTATATTGTAATGCAATATAGAACGGTTAAGTGGTCTAAACCGTTCTGTATTCCTTCCTTAGTGTACGAATTTAAGAAGGGAAAAGAGAACGGTTGTGACTAACAACCGTTCTCTATTTGTTATTATATAAAACGCCTATACGACCCGTTCTCTATACTTTATACATCGCTTAGCAGAAGAACGCCCCTAAGGCGGTCTATAAAGCCTATTCTAACCGTTCTCTGAGGCCTTTTTTGTGGTAGTGATTTGTTTACATTATAATGTTTGTTGTTATTAGGTTTGTATAACGAGCGGGAGATGTGGATCCCGGCATATCTAAAACATGTTTTTTGGGCCAGTATGCAAACAACCCAGAGAGTGGAAAGCATGAACAGCTTTTTTGATGGGTATGTGAGGAGGAGCACGCGGTTGTACCAGTTTGCTCCCAGATATTGCAAGGCCATGGAGAGCAGAGCGATAGATGAGCAGACGGCTGATGCGAACAGCAGACGGTTTGTTCGCCCTTTAATAACTGAGTTAGCTATGGACCGTGCGTTCCAAAAATTGTACACGGACGTAAAGTTTAAGGAAGTGCAGATTCAATGTCAGAGTCTGATGTATTTGACCACTCTGTCCAGGAGGAACATCTCAGATGGTTTTGTTGAACATGTGATCGAGGACAGAGTATGGATTTGGTCAAACTTCAAAAAGAAAGAGGTTCCCGATCGAGATGAGAAACGGATTGTGGTGGTAAAATTCTGTTTGGAAACGTCGTTTCCAGTGTGTGATTACAAACACTTTGAATGCCACGGGATACCTTGTAGCCACATTGTGAAGGTGTTGGATCTGCATTCTGTGAAAGAGGTGCCGAAAGAACTTGTTCTAGACAGGTGGCGGAAAGATATTAATCGGAAACGTACAATGGTAAAGGTTGCGTACCATGATCCCTCTAAAACAGAAGATGTGCAGCGATATGATAAGGCAATGGTTGCCTTGGAATCGATTCTACTTAGAGCCAGTATGTCCGAAGAGTTGAGTGGGTCCTGATGGAACGAATTCGGGTCATGGCAATGCAACTTGATGAGAAGGAAGGTAGGGTAGGAGTGGAGTCTGGGAGGCAACAACACTGAGGAGCCGACCAAACACCAAAATGAGGTGCCACTGCCACTTACCCCTTGCTCTGTTAACAAGGCAGGGGGGCAGCAAATGACACACGCACTCTAGGTGACACTACCCCCATGACCCAATCTACCCCAGTTTAGATCCCGACATCTACACTTATTCAAAACTCAACCGATCCAACTGCCACCACCGTTTCTCCCTTAGTTCAAGAACCAGTGAGTCGAGCGAGGAAGAAGGCACCCAGTAAACACTAGGCGAAGAAGAAGTTATCCAACATAAAGAAGAAGAAGAACCCAAGTAAAGGAAAGGGGAAGGGGAAAAGGAGGGACAGTTCAAGCTCAAGCAGTGATGATGAATCCGACAACAGCAGCGATAAGAAGAAGAAGTCTGCCAAGAAAAAAAAGAGGAAGAAGATGGGAAAAAGAAAACACAGTTCAAGCAGCTCAAGCAGCGATGAATTTGACAAAAGCGTAGACATTCAACAAAAAGTAAACCCCCATTCTGATATTGCTAATGCTGAATGTGTTGTTTACATTTTGTGCTGGTTGTTTGGTTTGAATTTAGTCCTCATTGATTTTTGTTGTACTGTTTTGCTTATTTCCCCTAGTATTAATTTGTTCCTTGTGAAACAGAATCGTAAAGCCCCAGCAGCAGTAGTAGGACAGGCATTTTGATTCACATGCCAACCACATGAGAATGGTTTGACTCAGAATTCGATGTTCTATGCCTAACAACAAAACAAGCGGATCTTTGTTCAGCAACAGAACCAAGAACAGCTGTTGGGGCAGCTTAACCAACAACAGCAGTTTGGGCAGCAAAACCAACATCACTTCTTTGGTCAACAACAGAGCAACCAACAAAGCCAACAGTAGCAGCTATTTGTCCATCAACAACACAGCCAACAACAGCAGCTATTTGTCCATCAATAACACAACTTCCACCAGGTGGTAAACAACCAGTAGCGGGACTGTGGTGGAGTAACTGACCAAGGAGATATGTGTATGGGTCCCAGCCAACCAATTCCAACGGCTCGTGGTAACTGTAACCAACACATTTTTTTTACCCCCGACATCAAACATGGTATATTTCCTTCAAAAGAGTTTCTTATGTTAAACAATTTACTTATTTTTCGTGTAAGTTGTGTTCATGGTGGCTTTTTTTTACAGGGAAGAATAACTGATGTTCAAGGACCCCATAACAATGGTCAAGGCCCCCCTCCAATAAATTATTCTTCCGCAGGAGGAATTCAAATGTCGAACAAAACCACACTTCAATATTTTACGAATAATTTTACCAGATGAACAAAATTGTAGTTTTACGATGTTTTAGCAGAGGAACAAAATTGCAGTTTTACAATGTAAAATGTATGTTTCTTTAGGAGTCAATAGTTATATGGCTATGCCATGATACACAGAAGAAACCTAAGTTGTATATAAAAATAGTAACAGTTCAGTACTGGAGTGGCGGATACACAGATTAAAATACGAAGTACATTCAAAACATCAAAGATCATGTTCAAACGGATCAGTTTTGTATGTCTGTATTTAAGGATCATCTTGCTGCATCATCTTGCTGTGGCTCGTAGTTCTCAGTGTCATCAGTCTTGTATGTCTGTATTTAAGGATGAGCAAAAAATATTAAAAAATCAAAATAGTTAAACGAAACTGAGAAAATCGAACTTCTTAGTAGACATTGTAGGACTAGATACCAACTTATCTGTGTGATACACCAGAATAAACGAGTACGATAACAATACCAAAAATGATCGTAAATAAGCTAATCATATCACGATACCAACTTAGCAGTGTGATAAACCAGAATAAACACGTAAGATAACAATACCAAAAACGATCGTAAATAAGCTTATTATATCACGATATTTCATGTTGATGTTCCCATACCAACTTTTTAATGCAAACGACCAACAGGTAACATATAATGAATTTCTACTATATGAACTCATCTTAAAGGCTGAATCTTAAAGGCGCACTTCACGAATTAACAAAAAGTGATTACAAGTGATACGAATTACCAAGAGAGTTACTTCTATTGCAAGTGATTACAAAAATTTGTTAATTAACAAAAGTAAATATTACCTTAAACTCCACTTCCAACAGCAGACCAAATCTCACTCCTATACCTTGGTGCATGTATCGTGGCTTAATAGCAATTGCATTCCATACCATAACAACACCTCCAGGTCCATCATCTCTGTACGATTTTACTGCGTAAGAAGGAGGTAATTGTTCCAACAATCAATTTGTAAGTGAATCTGGAAATCAAATTTCCGTGATTATAATGACTACTGGGTTGAAGTAGTCGTTAATTTTCCGGAAATTGTCCTGGAAAGACCACCTAGTTAAGCCTCTTGGATTCCAAAACACAATGTGGTCTTCAATTTCAAAAGGGTCTCTATTATCTGCTACAACTGAACTAGAGCAGACCTCCAAGGAAAAGTACCTTATTTTTGTCTTGCTCAGTTCAAGTGATTCCACTTTGATGTACATATCATAAACCTCGGTGTCCACAACCATTACGTGCAGCGTATCTGTAAATGATCCTATGAACAGGTAGGTGGGCGACTGAGGTAACCTGTAGCAAGTAGTCAAGTCCGGCCGAACTATGGGCTCTGGATCAATCAAGGGAAGTAAGAATCTAGGAACCAGAGTGTCCTCCACACTGTTAGCGAAGCACCATCTAAAAAAAATTGACAAGTTTTCCCGTATAGTCGCTTAGGTCCTCCATGTGTGGTACATGGGAGGAGTGACCTTATCATCACCAGCCTTCATGAACCTGGCCGTCGTACCAAATTACCTTAACAAATCCTTAACCTCCCTCGACGCCAATATTTCATCCCGCGCAATTTCAACTAGAATGGCGTCATCCAAAGTCGTTGCTGCTTCGCTAACGTAGTACTTACACTTTGTGTAGTCGAGCTCTGGATTATTTGGCTTGATTGTTTGGAAATTGGAAGTAGTAGCATTTTTTCAGATGTAATTTGAGCGATACGAATTTGTTGCTATTCATTTGTTAGGCGAAAAGACGGTGGGTAATGGACAGTGGCTTCCTAGCCATTTTTATTTTTCACAGTGGGTAGAGATTATTTTATAGTGTGGTGGGGAAGGTTAGAGTGTATTTGATCTACCTGACTAATACATACCGTAGAAGATTATGTTTGAAGACTGGACAGTTTAAGTGCTTAACGTTTGGTGTAATATATATACCAAAACGTTGACAACATATACCATATTTGATGTAGAAACATTAGTTGGTATGGTAGACAACAACGTTGGGATATAATTTTGTAAAATTATGGATGGGGAATGGGATGGGAGAAACAAGGAATTCGTACTACTGATTAGACCGTGACAATGATGTGTACTGGCGAAGTTATGGTCGGGAATTTTCCCTCTGCATTTCATACAAAAGAAGAAACCAAATGTTAAGGATTTTTTAATTTTCTGATTTTTTTTTTTATTTTAAAAATATTTTTGACACAGCTATGAGTTCCAGCTTTGTAATTTTTTTGTGTATGTCATTTGGTAAATAGAAACCATTGAAATGAAATTAATGCAGACAAAATTCACTACTGAATTCACTAAATTCAGTTAAATAGTCATAGCCACAATCACCGTTTGATGGTATAAAATGTTATGAATATGGTAGGGAGACACATATCATATTTACTAAGGTAATAGTACAGTTGATATGACCCGTGACAATGACGGGTATTTGGGCGGGATTTTTTCCTCCTAAAGTGAAATTGCTGATATTGTAAATTAAAATTTCATGACTTAATGAAATCATATTACAGTACTAAATGGATCGAGTAACCACAAAAAACAAGCATAATTGGTTGGTTCTAGTCTTAAATGGGTTATACTCTGAAAAATATGCATGTTATGTGTGTGTAATTAATGGGTTATACTGATTTAATAGTTTTAAATTGGTTAATTTATTCGTTTATTTCATAATCAAATTTCTAATTCAAATTTACATTAACCCGAAGGTCAATGTCACAAATTTGTGAAACATAAATTCACGATCAAACTTTTCATAATCAAACTACTTGTTAATGTTTCGTAATTAATTTGTTCAATGACACATGTAGCTAATTCGATGTTTTCAATTAGATGGAAGTGAAATTTATAGCTAACTTGGATAAGTAGAATTTGATGGAAAAGACACACTCAAAACCACACATATAAATTAGATTGCAACGTCAAATTGACTCAAAAATATAACTAATTCGATGTTTGGAATTAGGTTGAATAGTCTAATTCACTCACCAGAAATAGCTAATTCAATGTACTGAATTACTTGGAAGAAATCAAAATCACTCATGCATGATTAAACCTAAATCGATGTTTTGAATGAGGTGGAAAAGTCACATTTTGTCACATATATCAAATTCGCTATTTTGAGAAAAGTTAACTTCGCTCACAGATACTGCTAATTTGACGTTTTGCGAAAAGTCAATTTAAATCACACAACACCTAATTCAACACATAGGCATTTGAATCGATTGAAGTAGCGGAAAGAAAGTCAAATTCCCTCACAAAGAGGTTGTGGAGTCAAATGATGTACATGAAAGTCAAATTCATTCTCACGTTAGGCAACGGATTCGATTGATATAGAGAATAGTCAAAGTCAGTCACACATTAGGCGATGGAGTATTGGAGTCGCTTGATATAGAGGAAAGTCAAATTCATTCAGAAATACGCAATTGAATCAATTGAAATAGGGAAATCATCAAAATCATTCAACACATAGGCAATGGAGTCGATTAATATACATGAAAGTAAAATTCATTCACACATTAGGCAATGTGGAGTCAATTTATGCAGATGAAAGTCAAATTCATTCTCACGTTAGGCAACCAATTCGATTGATATAGAGGAAAGTCAAATTCATTAACACATAGTCAATTGAATTGATTGATATAGATGGAAGTCAAATTCATTCACACATACGCTAATGGTTGTTGAGTTATATAGCTGAAAGTCAAATTCATTCTCACGTTAGGTAACGGATTCGATTGATATAGAGGAGGAAATTCAAATTCATTCACACATATGCAATTGAATCGATTGATATAAATGGAAGTCAAATTCATTCACATGTAGGCAATGGATTCGAGTAGTATAGATGAAAGTCAAATTCATTCACACATTAGGCAATGAGGAGTCAATTGATGTAGATGAAAGTCAAATTCATTCTCACGTTAGGCAACCAATTCAATTGATATAGAGGAAACTCAAATTCACTCACACATAGTTAATTGAATCGATTGATATAGATGAAAGTTAAATTCATTCATTCACACATTAGGCAATGAGGAGTCAATTGATGTAGATGAAAGTCAAATTCATTCACACAGTAGGCAATGTGGAGTCAATTGATGTAGATGAAAGTCAAATTCATTCTCACGTTAGGCAACGGATTCTATTGATATAGAGGAAAGTTAAATTCACTCACACATAGTCAATTGAATCAATTGATATAGATGAAAGTCAAATTCATTCATTCACACATTATGCAATGAGGAGTCGAGTAATATAGCTCAAAGTTGGAGTTAATTAATATAGAGGAAAGTCAAATTCATTCACACATTAGGTAATGGAGTCCATTGATATAGATGAATGTCTAATTCACTCACACATAAGCAATTGAATCGATTCACACATTCGGCAATTGAATCGATTGAAGTACATGAAAGTCCAATTCACTCACAAAGTGGTAATGGAGTCAATTAATGTAGATTAAAGTCATTATCTTTTACAAAGGTGTAATGGAGTTGATTGATATAGATGAAAGTGATATTCATCTAACACATTAGGCAACGGAGTCCATTGATATATATGATAGTGAAATTTGTACACACATAGAAAACTGAGTCGATCGAGTAAGATGAAAGTGGCGTTGAATGAAACTTAATTGAATTAACTAAATTACCGTTGGAAGTTAAAAGATAATCGAGGTATTTCATCACCCACAACACATTGGCATTTGTGTTCATATTACCACAACTTTGTTAAACCGTTTACTGTTGGTATACTAAGGCATTTGTCTAAACCTTAAAACAACACAATTAAATCTCAATTCCCTAAAAGAACACAATTGAGAAGTCTCACAACAGAGGAAAAAAAAACAATTTGACATCTTACATTGAACCAAAATCACAATTGCATTCACTCCAAAATACAAATTCGCTTTTCAAATTGAATCAAATGTCCCGGTTTGAGTACAAAATATTGTGGGTCGAAGCTTATCAATGCCCATTCTATGTCTCTAATCTTTCAGATGTACGATTTTCCAAATCCAGTACGAATCCAGGTAGGCCCTACTACAAGTGCAGGAAATGCAACTCCTTCAGATGGGTAGAAGAGGAAAACATAATATGGTTTATTGTTTTGATCCCGACGCGACTCGTTGAGGCTGGGCTAGGTCCTATAGCAAACTCGGTGGTGGAAATTCGGGGGAATTTAACTACTATCAAACCCATGCTGCTGTCAACGATGTTCATTGTTTTTGTTTTGATGTGTTTTCGTATTTAGAGAATATTATATGGATTTAGAAATATGTACTAAATTGCAGTTTTAAACATTATCTTCTGAATTTGAAAGCGTATGATTGTGAATTTAAGTATTATGAGATTTTATATCAGTTGACATTATATTGTTTGTGTTTCGGCTTATTATGTTGGTACTTGTTAATCACTGTCTTATTTGTTGTTATACTGATAACCATTGTTGATATGCATAGTTTGGTCAGATGTAGAACATACTTACTCAGGGACTCAAGGGTATAAATAGAATGAACATCTCTGTTTGGTTATTTCTTTATTTTTAGACATTGGGATAACGCGTGAATCTGGGTTTTAGCTTCTTCGTTCCTCCCTCATATAACCTCGGTTCTTGCAGGCTCGCATTCTGTTGGTGAATTTACGAGGTACGTGTTTCTCAGTACTCAAGTTGGTCACCTTCCATTTCTGTTAAATAATTTATAGGGTTTTTAATTTTTTATTATTTTTTTCATGATTTTCCCGGATTATTCTTTGTAGTTCTGTGTACGGTTGTTGTTATCAATGATTTGTTTGAATTATTCTTTGAAGTTTTGTGACAGTTTAACTTCTGTAGCAGCCAATTATAATTTCTGTGATGCTGTTTAGGCGTGAAGGATTTATTGTCAACTACGATCTGTTTGAGTGTTTATGTTTGGTTATTAAAATTAAAGTATAATTAAATTATAATGCGCAGATAAGATGAAGGCAGGCCCAATTGGTGACCGGAAACACAATCCGGTGAGTATGAACGTTATGTGGTTGATTTGCATTATTAAAATTAAGTAAGCCAACAGAGACGAACTTACGTGTTTTGTGTCATTCCTTAGGGAAACCTCAGGAAATTGATGCTTCAAAACAGAGCCATTGAGAAGCAAAGGCAGAGACAACTGAGACGCGAAGCAGCTGCTGCAAACATCAACAAAGGCGGGGTAATTGTTAATTCAGCTGAAGAGTGTACACTGAATTATGGGTTGGACAATATCCATAGTGTTCAACCAGAAGATGGCAATAACAATGAAGGGATCCCTCTTCTTAGACTAATTGATGAGTTTAAGTTGTTCATCAACCACAAGATGGAAACTCAATGTACTGGAAAACAGGCTGCACAGAATAAGGTATGATTAACTGCCAGTCTTGTTTATGTTTGTTCGTTTTATGTAACTATGTTAGCAATGTAATATATTTTGTAATTGTAGGACATTTTGAGTGAAGGGGAGCAGGTCCCGACACAAGATGGTGTGGTGAGGAGTATGAAGACTCATTGGGAGAAGACTAAGAAGTAACCACATTTGGTTTGTAAGGTTGATGCTTTTTCTAAATTGGTCAGCAAGTTTGATGAGTCTAGGAGGGAGGCTGTGAAATCTATGGGGTTTGATGGCTTGCTTGATCTGAAATTGACTCATTTACCCTGTCAGTTTTGTTACTGGCTGATGACGAGGATTTGTGGTGATAGGACATTGTTGTTTGGCGATGGGCAATTACTGCCCTTATGTCCAGAACAAATACACTCTGTACTTGGTATTCCTATGGGTTCTAAGCCTGTTCCTAAGACTGTCGACGCCGGCAACACTGAAGTGGTGCGTAAGGTTCGTCAGGTTGCTGCTCGATTTGGCGATAGTAAAAGTGATGGTATCCTTGTCAGTGCAGCAGCTGATGCTTTGCTGACCTTCAAGAAAGATGAGGAAGACGATAAGGTGCTGGAGTTGGTCACTGCACAACAAAAGGAATACTTCAAGGACACGTTCCTAGTAGTTGCTCTTGGTCACTTATTATACACAACGACAAACGAATTGAATCTTGCATCTTCTTTCCTTCCCTGCTAAAGTCTTGGTGGGAAAAAAATGCGCAGTACGACTGGTGTTCTTTCATATTTTACTGGGTTCTTGAGACGGCAAAAGGGTTTCAATCATGTTTTCAAAAAAATGGGTACCGCGCTGGTTGTGGTGGTTGTATCCTGTTTCTGCTGGTCTGTTGTCGTTATCTAAATTCAAGTGAGCTTCATCTCTATTATTTATCTATTACGAATCAGTTTATTAGTTGTTAAGTTCCTATATTTTTCACCTGTGTGTTTGTTGCAGGTGTTCTACTTGGATCATTTGAAGCGTTTTCCTGTAAAATGGGGTGTCTACCCAAGACTGGTTGTTTGGACCCAAGACAAAGTCAAAAAAATGTTGTGTTGCAGGACAAGAAGGGCGATGATTTGTATGGTGACATGCTGGTATGATAAGTTTGTTGCAAATGTGGGTTTGATTAGTGGGTAGTAATACTACATGAAATGTGAGTCTCACAGCTTATTCTTAATGTGTTCTGCAGTCACTGAATATTGCGTATGAGGAGTATCACCCATTGATTCCTAGAGAATGTGACCACAAGACCACGGTAGATCGAGTTGCTGAAAAGGTGTTTCTTTAAGTCCATACCCAAGTCTGTATGATAAGTACATGAATTATGTGAGTGACTTTGATAAGTGAATGGTTGCAGGTTAAGGGGCCATTGTGAATGAAGCTGATGACCCATTGATCTGTTGGAAGAGACACTATTAGAAGAGACCGTGTCTCCATCTTTGTAATTTAGGCAATGCATTCTCTTAAATTGGTTGTTGTTGGTTTAACTTGAACACATATTGGTATTTGAATGGGACTCTATCCCAGTTGGTTTATGTATGCCATTTGTTGGTTGACATATTGAAACGATGACCCCTGAATGGTTTATTGTACTAAAAAACATACCCGTCACCCCAACAACTTCAAAATTGTGGTTCAGAAATTATATTGGAAATCATTAAGCCCTCCAATTTTCAATCCCTCAAAAGATGACTACATAAATGTACTTCATATTGTATCTACTAATGCATATGCAAAGATGACACATACATCTATCAACAACAGATTTACTATACCTGTTAAGCTTATCTTGACTTTGTCTTTGTTTTGATTATCATTAATAAAGTAAGAATATTAAGATTTGATATGATTAGTTTGGTTTAGTTAACTTCATCTAGTGGCTTGAATCTTTTGAGTATGGTATAATGTGATTTGATTCAACCAAGAACAAATAATTAATCTTTAAATTTAGATTAATAGAAGCTAAAAAACAGCTATTATTATGTACACCATTTTTTTTGGACATTATTCTTTTTTATATTCCTCTTATCGGAGAAGATTCCTATTATACAACTTTCATACATCGGAGTGTAATTAGCTTCTCATATATCAAAACATATTTAAACGAGTAGATCGAAAAGCCTTTTCAAGCAAATAGTTTGGGATCGAAAAGCCTTTTCAAGCAAAGCCTTGTTGTTTGTTTAATTTAAACACATGTTGGTATTTGTATGGGACTCTCTTCCCAGTTGATTTATGTATGTCATTTGTTGGTTGACATAATGTAACGATGACCCTTGAATGGTTTTTTGTACTAAAAAACATATCAGTCAACCCAAAAAATTCAAAATTATGGCTTAGTTACATGAAAAGTCTTTTTTTAAGATCAATTGGTGTTGGGGATAGTATAGTATAATTCATGCAAATAATCTACGATAAAGTGAAGTTATGACAGTGTTAGACGTTTTCACTTACATATTGTATATACATCACCAAACAAGATCAAAACAAAAATAGTTGAATTAAACAAAATACGGATGTAGTAATTCATAAAAAGTTCACATATGGATGAACTAATTCAACAACATTTCAATGAACTACTTCATCCGTTTCTTTTTAGTTGACAAGTTTATTTAGTCACGTTTGCCAATGCACAAATCAAAACGTTAATATCTTTAGTTACCGATAAGTAAAAATTATAAAAAGTTGATATTTTGAAAATATATACCGTGACGAATCTAACAAGACCCCACATTACTATATTTTTCATTACGTATAAATCACAAAACATGGTCAAAGGAAAGTGTGTGAATAGTGCTAAAGTCAAAACGTGTTAACTAATAAAAAACGGAGTTAGTAATTAATTAAAACTTCACATTATTCACATATAATTCATAATTCACAACTTAATTCACATAAATTATAATATATACATTACTAAACAAAAAGAAGCACCAACAACTACTACAATAATTTACATAATTCATAAGTTCATAACTACAATTAAAACCTTATTAAAACTTCATAAACTTAAACATAAAATTTAAAAACATAACCATACTAACAACATATTAAAACAACGACTTCCTGACAGCGGATTCAGGCACTTCCTCCTCGAATATCACCGTCTAGTCCTCCTGGTCCGACGAGTTCCTGCTCTTCTCCGAACAAGCCCCGTCACTGACGTCATCGTCGCACCCACCATGATCACCAGAGGAAGACGAGGACATACTAGGACTGTATGACTGAGGGGGTGGACAGGAGTTCGTGGTGGATGACGAGGAAGACTTGTTGTTGGACGACTTGGTGGATGACTTAGAGGAGGATTCATCCCTGACTCCAACTTGTTGGGGTGTGCTTCTTCACTTCCTGGTGGTGGTGGTGGTGGGGCATCCTCCTCATCATCAAGAAAGATGATGGGGTTTGTTACTTCACCGCCTGGTGGTGGTGGTGGAACAACGGTGGTGGAGGTGAGTTTTGCCATGTTTTTTTCAGTTTTTTTTGGAGGAAAACGAAGGAATAGAAAATATAATTTAACAGAAGAAATAGATGATTGAAATAATTGGGAAGGGTGATGATTATTTATAGAACAATCAGTGGAAATCATTCGTGACTGTTCACTTCAATTGTCATGAATCATGTTTACTTTTGGTAGAGGGTTTAGTTTTTACATGGGAACTATCAACTTTGTACTATTTATTACGTGATATATACCATTCACCTACCCATTTATGATATTACATTTTTGTAGAGTAATATACTACGTAAAATTAATCGGAAATTTTATGAAATGCCCCTGAGTAATTTTTTTATTCACCAAATACCCATCAAAACTTTCAAATTCACCAAATACTCCTGAGTTTAAAAAAATTTCACCAAATGCCCTTAATGACTAACGGCGGTTAACACCGTTAGTCATTAATGACTAATACGCCACGTGGCAGCATCCAATTGGTTGTTGTAATATAAATAAATTAATTATTAAAAAAACTTTTAAAAAAAAAACTTATATTTTTTTTTAAAGTACCCCCACCGGCCACCACCCCCTAGACCCACCCCGCCCCACCATCCTTGCAGACGGCGCCGGCGCAGGCCGCCATCTCCCAGCCGGAACCGACCGCCGGTGAGGCCAACCCCCCCACTCTCGACACCCCCTCCCCTACCCCCAGCCCCCTCTCCCTCCGTTTCCCCTCCCCTTAAACCCCCCTATCCCTTGAAACCCCCCCTCGCGGCCGGCGTCCAAACCCCCTCCCCGGCGCCGGCGAACCTTTTTCGCCCCACCCCCTTTCCCCCCTAAACCACCACCTTAAAAACCGAAAAACCCCCAAATCGAAACCCTAGATTTCGATTTGGGGTTTTTTCGATTAAAGGGTTTTTGGTTTTTTGGGTGGTGGTTTGGGGGGAAAGGGGGTGGGGATGGTAGGGGGTGGGGCGAAATTGGTTCGCCAGCGCCGGGGTGGGGGTTTGGGCGCCGGCCGTGAAGGGAGGGGGGTTTTTCGAGGTGGGGGAAGGGTTTAGGGGAGGGGAAACGGAGGGATAAGGGGCTGGGGGTAGGGAGGGGGGTGTCGGAGGGTGGGGGCTGCCCTCGCCGGCGAAAATGGACCACCGGCGCAGGGTCTGGGGGTGGTGGCCGGTGGTCAGCCGTTGGGGGTGGGGTGGGTCTTGGGTGGTGGGGGTAATTTTTTTTTTATAATTTTTTTTTCTATTTTTAAAGTTTTTTTATTTATTTTTAAAGTTTTTTTTAATAATTAATTAATTAATTTTACAACAACCACTTAGAGGCTGCCACGTGGCATATTAGTCATTAATGACTAACGGTGTTAACCGCCTTTAGTCATTAAGGGCATTTGATGACATTTTTCTTAAACTCAGGAGTATTTGGTGAATTTTAAAGTTTTGATGGGTATTTGGTGAATAAAAAAAATAACTCAGGAGCATTTGATGAAATTTCCGAAAACTAATTAAAGGTTATGATGTACATTTTAGAATGACTTCAATAAACCTTACCTCGTGTTATGTCGTCTAATATGAATTAGGGGAGGTAATTCATGGTTAAAAAATTAAACAAACAAGCTGTAAAAACCCGTTTGATGTTTACCTAAAGTAAACGAACGTGTGTTTTTGCAAATTTCATTTTATGTATTAATTTATGACATCTCAATTTGTACATACTTCTCCTCCTAAAAATGTTACACATGTTGGTTTTATTTTCGTATTTGTTGGGTTAAAGTCAAAGTGGCTGAAATGACAGCCCCCTTAATTTTTTTTTTTGGGTACTTTTCACCAAATTAGTAAATGGTCATGTTCTCTCTTGCTAATCCTTGTGGCAGGTTTATTAACTCCTACTTTTACCACTTCTCTCTTATTTCTCACCCCTACTTCATTGAATTTAATTCCAATTTTATAGTAATATTAAATTGAATTCAATTTAATCTAATATACTACGTTTTCTCAAAAAAAAAATATATATATATATATACTACGTTATATTTTAGAACAAAATTGGTATACCTTAACTCGTGCCATTTTGTCTAATATGTAATAGGGAAGGTAATTCATGCTTAGAAAATAAACAAACAAGCCGTAAATCCGTTCGATGTTTACTTAAATTAAAAAGTCGTGTGTTTTTTGCAAATTCCATTTGATGTTATTAACTTAAGGACTAAAAATTGTGATTGTTTACACATGTTGGTTTAATTTTCGTACTTGTTGGGTTAAAGTCAAAGTAAATGACATCTTTTTACTTTCTCTATAGATCAGTAAATGTTCCCTGCTATAATAATATTTCTAATCTACTGCCACTCGTATTACTTCCTACTCTTACCACTTCTCCCTCTCTCTCTCTAATTTCTCTCCCCTACTTCATTTAATTTAAATGGGTTTCTCACTATAATTTAAATGTAAGATTTGAAAATATAAATATGAAAATCATTTTGTATCCATCCCAAGATTCCCAACTTCAATATTTGAGTAAGTTCTATCTTCAATAATAATGAAGGGTGCAGTTGTTCATAATTTTTTTGGAGAAATAATCACGTAAGTCTAAGTATGTTAGTATCTTGTTTAATATTTTTGGCGCGTTTTTTGGGATGACATACTTCGTGTAAAATATATATTAGTGTCCCAAACGATACGCGAACCAACGTAAAACTCAATTCAAAAACTAAATTATTATCCTTTTTAATTAACTCAAGTAAACTCAAGTTTATATTTACTATAATTATATTTTATAAATCAATTAAACTTAATGATTATATTTTCAGTAGTTTGTAACATATTTATTAGTGATAACCCTACAGAAAGGATACTAACATGAATTATTTTTGTTCATAATATTGTTTATAAAAACGTTATAATGGAAATAGCTCAAAGGAAATGGCCTTTGGTTATTGTGCCCTTTAAATGACATCTCCCCTCTTTCTCTCTCTAATTTATCACTCTACAGTAGATTGATTTCTCTCTCACTAATTAATAAATCACTCTTTCCCAAAAAAAAAAACAATTTATTACTCTACCTATTTCTCTCACTACATCATTACATTTATTTATCTCCGTACTTTATCTCTCGATTTTTTATGTCTTCATTCATTAACTCTATTTCTCATCCATTACTTAACAACTAAGGGATGA